ACTGGCCGCCACGGCGTGATAGCTGGCGTTTAATGAGATAAAGTATGTGACTGAACGCCTTTAGCCACCGTAACTTTTTCCCATGTATGTACCGAGAGAGGTAATGATGAGCTTCCAGAAGTGGGCGGCCAATGCCGCTTCCTCCAACTTTAAAGGGGAAGATATCCCCTCCCCCAACAATAAATATCTTCTAGTTGTCTTATACTCATCAGACGTTCGCCAATAGCTAGATTTTACAGAACCTCGGAATGAAAACCATCCGTTGCGAGGACGTCGTCCTAGCCATGGCAGATCAGGCTGAAAGGTTTGGTGCCATGTCCGTCACATTTGCAAAAGCCCCAGACCTTGCGAAGACCCAAGCCGAACAAATCACCCAGTGGACCCAAAAGCTGATCGATGCCGTAACGAAGATTCGACAAGATGCACAGGCTGCCGCAAATGTGTGCCAAGAACGCCTCCAGGTCACAATTCGCGAGCTTAGCACGCGTGGGAATGCAACAAAGAAGAAGATCTTAGAAAACAATAAGCTGGATACATCGCGAACTGTAAAGGCAAACTTCAGGCTAGTGTTTGGGCCGCCAAAACACTCGGAATACTGCAGCAAAACCACGAAATATGCAATGGAATCCAATGCTGTGAGGATTAAAACAGTTCGTGGGCTATGCGAAAGTTATCCCGATGCTGTTATCACCCTATCAACGAGCTATCCTACCAAAGTGTGGACGGAATCAAGCGTGGAAGTATTTGACGGACTAATAAAGTTGTTGAAGAAGGATGCGGAGAAAGAAGTAGGGGTGGGTTGGCCACGCGAGATTTTGGATATCATGGATACGCTCGAAGAAGAAAGGCCGATGTGTGGTGAGTTTAAGGTTCTTCGTGGTATGTGCTCAAACCATTCTCCCAATATATTCTTCACTGACAGGTAGTCAGACAAAATCTCTCAGCGTCAAGAGATTAATCTCCCTTCCGCCTCCTTGTCCCGACATAGACAGTTGAGATCGATTGCAAGTGTGTTGACTACTCTGCAGAGCGAATTCTCACCTACGATGAGTGAGCCAACGTCGTCCCCAGTACGTGGGAATAAGAGCTTACCAGCGGGTATAGATCAGCTGCCGAGCCTACAGCAAATAGGATCCACAGCACCAGTCTTCTATCAGCGTATGACAACCACCATTTTTCCCATTTTAGAAGGCATGGCTAATCAATGGATAGGGCAAGTGCGCGACGGCCCACATAAAAATTCCAATTTTGGACCGCCAACTAGCCCCAGCACTGGACGGGACCAACTTGGCACTTACCATAGTACGGTTTATCCTTCAAAAAGACGCAAGCCTGAAGATCCACAATCGCCATTCCGGGAGAATAGAGGTAAGAAAATGCCTTTCAAAATATTCATGTACCAGAACTAACAATCTACCAATAGAGGTCGGATTTATGTACACAAATGCCCCCGCCGTCGATATATTGCAACTAGCTGAACCATTCAAAACGGCGCTCCAGAACAGTCGACAATGGAAATGGGAAAGAAGCCAAAATATGAACACCACATCGTGCCTGGCGGCATTGTTCCCGAAGGATAACACTCAAGATGTTTCTCTGACTATATGGTGCGGAAATAAGGATGGATACCGTGTCATCACTGCGTTCGGGATGCAACTTACTCCTTTACCCTAGACCTTGAAGTAGACGCTGGCACCCCTTACGTATGTGGTATAACCGGCGGGTACTGTGAAGGGTTTATAATCTGTTGTTGGATGGTCGTGGACTTCATGCGTTGCGTAGTGTTCCGTCTCTTCATTATATATCGACAAATAACGGCCTTTAAAATATATAGTCCTATCACTGTCGGTCGGCGGAAAATAATGGGCCGGAATGTCCTTTTCCTTTTTCCCGGAGAGAGCGTCGTCACCCGTCTAAAGATATATGTGAATTAGATACATAGCGATGAAATTAAGAGCCGTGACAAACTGTGTAGCTGGACTTACCGCCATAGCCAAGATACTCTAGATGGACCTTGCTTCTCTGTACCAACTGTTAAAGACTACTGCGTATCAGCGGTCATGGGGCCAAATGGTAGAAGGGAAGATTCGATCTCTATTCACCTGATATTCGGAGAGGCGCAGATGAAACTGGATGAAATCAGACACAATACAAGCCTTTCTTCAGTCGGGGTCGAAACAGAGTAAGATGGATAAATTTTGATAGTGTTTGATGTTATGTACAAAGAGAATCGTGAAGAATCGTGAGGGGTTCTGAGATTTAAGTGGGGTGTGACTTGGTGGGGTTGGCATTTTGATGGGCCCTGGATATTTGCTCAACCAGATCCAGAAGCATGTAAAAGATAGTTACTGTTTCGATAAGATTGTCCGATATCCAACGTGTTACTCTGTCAGGCATACATGCAGATAATTCTAGAATGGACATCTTATATTGGAAACGCCAGCGTCATATGATCTTGCAACATGTTTAATAAGCCGAAGTTGCACATGGCGGCTTGCATATTTGCTGCATGCCCTTCTACCAAATAATTTCCAGAATTTAGAAATGCTATTATCCGGGGAACGTTCCATTAATGACGGATTTTCAAGCCTATTCAGTCTCAGTTTCTGGGAAATCTGTGACTTTTCTTCTTATTCCAATAAAAAACTCAAGGGTTAGCCAGCCGCTCCACTAACTGCCAAGCTGACAAGCTGAGTTAGAAAACCAATGACAACCACTGTAGGGCCATCCCGAAATATCCCTGCTCTCATACACTGAATCATACCATTTTCCTGTCCTGTCCAAAACCATCATCTTCCCATGTTGACCTCAGACCCAAGCGCCTGACCCATCTCTGCAAACCCACTGTTCGGCAACATAAATCCACCTGCTAGTCTCTCGTTCAATAATCATGGCTTCGCGTCTAGCAAAATATAATAAGAAAAGAGGCCGTCAAACATCTACTCTAAAGGACAATAGCGAGTTGCTCGCCCAGAAAGGAACAGGACGTATCCCTCGCCGAAAAAGCGTGCACCTCTCTCGAAGATATCCTTTCCGTGAGCAGGAAACTACACTTCCAACGAGTCATTCACTCGGAAAGACTGTATGATACCCGTCGCCCTCTGGGTGCTGTGGAAAACTAATGTTGATGGTCAGGAAATACAAGTAAACAATCATAGGAAGCGATCGTGCACACCTGGGAAACCAGCCAGGCGTCTTGAAAAACGACGGTGTACGAACCCTACCAACTCCAGCGAGGACGCAGTCTACGGAGTAAAGGATCACAGGAGCATTGGTCTCCCTTCGACCCAGACCATCGAATGAGAGGTAAGTTTCTCACCCCTATGATCCTACAACAGCAGCTGATTCAACCTAAGACTCTTCGTGATCCACCAATCTCGTCGCAACAGTGTTCACCTAAGCATAAACGACTACACCCGGAACCTGAGCGTCCATCTGATAACCCCGATCCCCCATCGAAGCGGCCAA